ATTAATTAATTAATTTCCTAAAATACAAAAGACATGTTGGTGAAAGTTAGGCACCCAGGTAATATCAATAGTTCCACGGACAGCTATGTAGGCCGGAGCTTCTATTGCGTGCGATCTACGTTTGGTCAGAAAATACCCCCCCCCCCAACCACACACACACACAAAAACCACCGATCCGGGAACGCCTGAAAAGGAGGCTTTTAATAAGCTTTGCCTGCAGCGCCTTGATTGGTCGGACGTGTGACCATCTGGACTGCCGGCTAATGGAAATCTGAACATCTAGACTAATCCACACTGCTAATGCTCATTGACATAATTTATGCAGTTTATTAAAATCCTTGATTACTGTGATTATAGACATGTCTTTATCAACATTTTTGGCAAATAATAAAATCAAGTTATTGTTCAAGACAAATTAAGTTTGTTTTGTCAGCAGCTTTGTTATGCAACATTAATAGAACTATGATTTTGAAATTAGCAACCATAATGGAAAGTATACAAACGTCCAAGGCATAAATAGGTAAAAAGTGCACTCGCAACAACGACATCTAGCGACATGCGGCAACTCAGCATGTCTGCATGGCCGTCGCAACAACGACATCTAGCGACATGCGGTGACTTAGCATGTCTGCATGGCCGTTGAAGGGTGGAACCGTTGATCCATCCATCCATCCAATCTCAATCTCGTCTGAGTTACCATTTTCGCGCATGCGAAAATGGTAAAAAAATTACGCCGACACCCAACAAGACTGCGAAGGAGGCTAGAAATCGCCCTCTACGGACGTGACCTGAACTGCAGCCAACTCACCCGGAAAGCCATGGGAAAGCCAGTTGCGCAATACGGCGCACTTATACACGAACTGCAAAACCTTCACAATTCAAACCATACAGTATCAAACCCGATACATTCCTAGACACCACACAGCACAATTTACGTCTGGCTCAGACGCTCTTATCAGGCTTTCTACCCAGCCTTCAAGAATATTTTCTATACCCGCGTCATAGACCCATCGTCCATTAATACCGTGTGTTGCTACCTTAACTCGTAAACGATCGACTCGTATTAAAGTTGCACCTACTGTTTACTACCTGAGTTTTATCCCAGAAATGTATTGAATTAATGTTGACTAGCAGTAATCTTGGACACATTATGTATTACACCAATGTGTGGTGTATGAAACCTGTTGTTATAGGCCACTGCAAGTAAATTTTATGGATGACATCCTCCGCAGACTCTAAATCTAATGCGATAGTGCGAAAAAAGGCGGGTTCGCGGAAAAGGCTGGGTAGCCTGCAGGCTAGCCTGGCAGGCTTTTGGGTTTACGGAAAAGGTGGGCAGGGCTAGGGATACTTTGCAGGCTATCCTTTCTGTGCCCCAAAGGGTGTGCAAGGGGGTTTGGTCTCTAATAAATTTACTTGTCTTTACAGGTATGGGTGATCTGTTTGGGGTGGTAATTATTGCTTAGCAACTCGAGCAAGAGTTTGTCATAGAAACTTGTAATACAGTTTCTTCTTTGTTCAAAATTATATAAAACCCTTTGGCAATAACATTGTTACTATAGTTATCATCATTGTTGAATTTAGAAAGGTAGAATTAATTCATTTATTATGATTTTCCACATACTTGTACAGGAGTATTGAATGGCATAGCAGAACATGATGTTAGGACCGTGACCTTTTCAAAGCCACATGCCAAAAAAGAATGTGCACTAAGGTAGGTGTAACTCCCCATGTAAAAGTTTTTCTTTCTTCCTATATCCTCTAAGGTTTTGAGGGTGAAAAATGCAGTGAGGGGTCCGGACATCACCGAGCTGTTTGTCAACAACGGAACTATACTGCAGGGCAGCAGTGTGGCCAGCTTCTGATTGGGTCAGTGTTCGACAGACTGTTGTACTGCCAAGTCAGGACTACGTAGCAAAAAACTGTGGCAGAATTTCTGAATGTTTCTTGTAACAAACACGGCCTAAAAGAAAACTTCCGGGACTAATAATACTTGTAATAACTATAATTATATAACGAATAGTTTAAAGATATAGGTTAGACATCCAGGTAATGAGCTATACAAAACAATAGTTACATTTTATACATCAAGCAACTGGATCTAAGATCTGGATAGATTTTGAAGACTGACAATGACAGTTTTCAAAGTCTATGCAGTTGCTTGGGTAACTATTTTCTTGTGCAACTTAACTAATAGTTTGGTTGCCAGTTTTAACAAAACACATTTAAACCCCCAGAAACAAAATCCAAACAATCCCAGCAAGGGTGCTTCCTATATAGAATGTCTCGCCTGTGAAATAAGGGAAAAGTTTGGACCTACCATAGTTTTGGGATTGATGTTCTAGTTTGTAAGAAATTACATGTTCTACCATCCAAACTGTTATCCCAAGTGTAAGCTTCCAAATGTTTCATGCTATGTTAATGTTGTATAAAAGTTGGAATAATAGCATCTTCCTGCAATAATACTAGTGGGTAGCAGTAAAAATCAACAGGCCTCCACTGTATAATATGGTAGTCTGGCTATAATGTTTTCCATTGAATCATAACAATTCTTCTAAAATATGCAAATAGCAGTAATCAGTTTACGTGTGAGTATTTATGTCATTGTGTAAATTTGCCCATCAAAAACATGGAAAAGTCTTAAAAATCGAAAAGAAATTGGAAAATCCTTTTCTGAGACAAAGTTTTATCACAAACCAGTGATTGAGCTGCTGTAAGATACTAACAACATGTTAATGTTCAAACATGTAAGTAGAAAGTAGTGGTGCTATCATGGTATTAAAATTACTAAGTCATTCACCTGTATGCAATTAGTTATTATATTACTCTATATGATACATTATAATATCCAGAGCCATGCCTATTTCTAGTTCTTAAGCCTGAATGGGTTAGAGTTAGGATCAGGCACGGTTCTGGATAGTCTCTGTGTATACAAGAACTTAGTTCTAGTTCTAGATACATGATTGTGGATATTACAGAATGTGCCTGAGCATGATTCTAGATGAAGAACAGTTCTGGATAAAACATTGATGTCAAATGGCTTAGTTATAGGGGGGCCTGCAAGGGGGGGGGGGGTCCCAACAATGCTCTACGCTGAATTCGGAAACTTCTCGATTACGCTTTACAATAAATTCCAAGTGGCCACAACGCATTACGTAGAATTAAAACGCCAAATACGTTCTACGCAAAATGCGCCAATTACGCTCTACGTTGAATTAGAGCGGTCCGTCTACGCTCTACGTAGAATTAAAACGGCCGATTACACTCTACAGAAGAGGGCTTGCGGGCCCCCTTATAGGTTCAGGGCAGAGTAGGTAGATTGCATTGTTTGCAGGATTTTTCTGGCAAAAGTTGTGGTGAAAACTCCCACCTACCAAACCACAGAGCCTGACATGTTACAAGGAAGGCAAAATTACAAACTGTAATTATAGCAATCACTGGTGCAATCAACAAAGAGGCCAATTCAAGATGCAGAATACATGTGTAACATTTATATAATCATACTATTGTGTGCTTTATCAGCGTGTAACGTTAAAGCCATAAGAAAGTAGCCATATTGAAAGGTGCACAAAAGATCAGTGTTGTTGCTTTCGCAGTTATTCACAACTGTTACAGCAACATTAAAGGTCACCCTTAGTACAGTAAAGTTTAATTCTAGTCAAAACAATTTTGCATAGAAATGGTTTGTACAGAATCCTGCAGTATCAACTCATAGCTAAGGATTATTGTGTCAGGAGTAAGAAATGTTGCATTTCATGTTTGTAAAAGATCAAAATGATATCAATAAACCATCTATGCAGTTGGTCTTCAGTACTGAACATTATACATTTATAGATATATGTATATATATATATATATGTATATATATATAGATACATATATGTATGTTTATACATTATATATAAAGCTATGATGTCCAGGTAACTAATATATAAGGCCACTGTCAAGTAATGCAAAAAATCAGTGTACTTTTGGCACATGCACACACACAGTACAAATGGCATTAAAAGTCTGTGCATCAAAATCAGTGATACAAAATCTGATACATGGCAGCAGGTTTTGTTGAGATTATTCCCAGTACTAATATATATATAATATAGACTCCAAGAGCTTCTTGTACTCTTCTTCTTTGTCAAATTCATGATTAGAGTGATTCAACATGTCCACGATCTTCTCCGCCAATAGCTTTTCTCTTGGTCAGACTCCTTTCCAGTGGTTTTTATTACGGTCTAGTGTCTCATGTCCAGATGACACTTCTCGTCATTGATTAAAGCCTTGATCATTGCTTCATGGCCTGACCAGGATGCCTGTAGGGGAGGACTGTTTACTCATCTTTGTTCAATCCACAGACCCTCAGCAGGTTTTGGTGTGATTCTTCCCAGTACTTGGACTCCAACAGCTTCTTCTTGTACTCTGCTGCTTTCTTGAATTCTTCCTCAGAGTATTCCAAGGTGTCTGTGATCTTCTTTGCCCATTCTCTTGCATCTTCACCCAGGTCGGACTCCCTCACGCTTGTTTCCACTATCCTGTGCCTCATTTCTGCAGGGCATTTCTTCTCCTTGATCAAGTCCTTGATCATATCTGCCAGGCCGGACTTGTCAGAGATGAGTACAGGGATGCCTGCTGCGATGGCCTCCAGACCGATCAGTCCGAACGGCTCGGCGCGGGACGGCATCAGGACCAGGTGGGCCTGCTGCATGTCCTCAGCAATGTCCTTCTGGGTTCCATACGGCAGTAGTGTGGGTTTGATCTTACCACTGTGCAGGTTCTCCTCCAGGATTCTCTTGCTTGCTTCCCAATCATTTTCATCTATCCCGCGAACACGCAAACTGACGTTTGTGATCTTCTCTGCGACCTCTCCCAATGCCCGTGCTACCAGGTCATGGCCTTTCAGCTTGTCCACTTTGGTTACTCTCCCAACAGACAGCACGACTTTCTGTCCTCCTCCTGGTCTAATAGAGATGGCTTCAAACACTGGGGATGGTCTTGGGAGAAACAAGAAGTGTTGTCCTGGTTTGCTTTCTCCAAGTGACATGTACTTCATCTCGAAGTAGTCGTAGACCCTTTTTCCCAAGGAGAACACGGCATCTGCATTCTTGGTATCCTCGAGAATGTCTTCCGTCTTCTTCCCTGCAGCCAGCGCTTTTTCAGCTCCCTTGTAATACTCCGTCTCTTCTGGTATGTCGTGGTTGAAAATAACTAGTTTTGCCTCTTCACGGTGGTTCTCTTGTATGCTCTTTGCAGCTCCACTTGTGACGTTTGCATGGCCCACAATGCACTTCAGATCCTGTGGTATGTCTGGGTAACGAATAATGTGGTCAAAAGTCAACCAGTCAGGACAAGGTGGCCTCAGGTCCCTGGGATGGCGGACAGGCAGATGCAGAATGACACCATCCTCTTTGGCACACTTCTTGTCATCTTCAGATGCTTGCAGAGCTGTAGCATGAACTGTAGCACCACGCTGTTGCAGAAACTGTGCCACCTGACGGTTTGTGGTAGAACTACCTCTATGAGACTCACCGTACTCATTGTTAACCATCAGGACAGACGTGACCTCTGCGAAGGGAAAATATTCACATCATATGACTAGGAACAGAAAAGCAAGAGGGTTGGAGATACATGTAACTGGTTGTCAGATCATCTGTGGTCCCCCAAACAATTAAAAATTGGTTAGACTAAAGGATAGATGAGATGAGATACCAACTGCAGATAGCTGTCATTGACAAGTTTAGTGTGAAAAGTTCTCATCAACTAAAAGTATCTTGATCTGCAATTTAGCATTGCACATACATGTATTACAGAATATCATATACGTAGATATTGACAGGCTGAGAGCTGTATGTCTTAGACTAGTTTCAAGCTGTTTTTTTTGTTGTTAATCCCTGTATTTTGCAATCATTCATTTTTCTTACACTCACTCACGGTCCTTAAATTCATGTTTAATATGTTGAAACATGAATTCTACTGATAAAAAAAAACAGAAGGCAAAGAGACTGTACCAGGATGCTCAGCTCCATCTTGACTCCTTGACTTCTGGCCTCCTCGTAGCTGAGCCAGCTTGTCCTCCTGATGCCCCTCACCAGAAGACCCTCCGGCTGCCGGGCGCTTGGCTGGTGGCCTGCCTGATGTATCTGCCGGCCGCTTAACTGGCTGGGCCTGTAAAAATGAGATCTTAAGTTAGCTGGAACATTTCAGCTATCATCATAAGGTCAATATATAAAAATATGGTTCATTCTAAGACACTGAAGATAAGTTGGTGGCAATACCTCAAGCCTATCTGCCTTGTCTGCCAGTTGGTTCATGCCACACTCCCTCAGTACCCGCTGGAGCTTGTCCATGGACGCTTCTCTGTCTTTCTCAATCCACTTCAACAGCACGTTGTTGGCCTGGCAGGTCCAATTTATATCTTTACCCTAGAAGGAGATCATGAACATAATGTACATTACCTTAAATGTAAAATATTTAATCAAAAGTCAAAGAAATCAAAAGTGCATGCACTCAATAAATCAATCTATCAATCAATTATGAAACTAAAATCTGTAAATTCTTCAATTAAGCTCTTCCTCAAAAGCTGTAAATTAAACACATATTTCTTCATTATCGTCAATCTTCTAGACTTCTTGAACCACTATGAATAAAATTTGATTCAATTTACCAGAATATTGGTCCTCTCATTTGCTGTAAGTCCAGCTACTGCGGCCAGAGCCTCCACCTCAACTCTTTGTGTCACGTTTTGTGAGAAAAGGAAGAACAGTTTTCCCAATTCTATTCCTGCAAGAAATAAAACATTCATGAATTAATGTTATCATTTATATTCCATATTTTTAGCATACTGCACCTTGATGAAATTATTGAATGTAACAGAAGCTTAAATAATTAGAAATATACTTGAATGGCAGAGATAACAAAAATGGTCAAAATAAAGTGCATAGAAATAACCTGTTTTGCATGATTGGCTCTTTTATTATTTTGATCCACACCATAATGATAGCTCTTAATCATTTTTTAAATTTTGGTTTTCTCCTAGTTTTCTCATACATACCTTTCTCTCTTCTGAGGAAGTCCATGATGACAGCTGTGCCTTTCTTACAGACATCAGGAGGGGGATATGTCAGGGGGTTGTCTTCGATGTTCATCTCCACAAGTCGGGCCATTCGGCTCAGAGTCAGGGGAAGGCGGGAAATTCTGTTATCCGATAAGTGGAGCTTCCTGATGTTGGACAGGTTCATGATTTGTTCAGGAACTGATGTGAATCTGTTGCCAGAGATATCTACAACCTCCAGCTGCACCAGTTCTCCAACACATTCTGGCAGTGACTCCAGGCCACTATTCTGCAGACCTAAGATTTGTAGGTTCTTCAGTCTGCCGATGTCTTCAGGTACAAGTGAAGGTTTGCCCTCCCCAGCCCAGTTCCCCAAGTGTAGCTTCTTTAGACCCTCCAGCTGCAGCACCTGTCTGGGGAACTCATCAAACTGACAATCATTGATAAAAAGCTGTGTCAGTCCTGTGAGCTGAGATATCTTGTCAGGGAGACACTTGAGGGGGTTGCCTCCGATGTCCAAGAACTTGATGAGGTGAAGTGACCAGACTTCCTCTGGTATCTCTTTGAATGCATTATACTGGATGTAGAGATCCCGAAGTTGTTTTAACCTGGAGAATCCATCAGGCAATGTCTCCAACTTGTTGTCTGACAAGTCAATGACCTGTAGGTTAGGTAGAGTGGTGATTGCCTGGGGCAGTTGTGTCAGCAGGTTATTGTCAAGTTCAAGCCTCTGAAGCTTCTGTAGTTGCCCTATCTCCTCAGGTATGCTCTTCAGCCTGTTGTTAGACAGGACAAGATGTTCAACATCTCTGATGTCAAACACCTCGGCTGGCACGGAGGTCAGTCCTTTGTCACTGAGGTCAATAGTGAGCAAGCCATCAACCTTTTCAGGTTTTTGGAGAGCTAAATAAAAAGGTCAAAAATTGCTTTAAAATTTGCATTACTTATGGATGCAGAGAAGATGTCTCAAATCATGGTATTAGATATTGCAGCTTCATAAAAAAACTATATACAGTTGTTTAGATTGTGTAGTAGATTGTGTAGTAGATTGTAGTAGATTGTGACATTTATGTACTATACATTCAAATAATCTAAATGTAAAAAAAACATTCTATTCTTTAGCCCCTGTTCTAAGTCAAACAATGTGTGCAGAGAACCTGGAATCAGCTGTATAATATGATATAAGCAAACTTGACAAGTCACAGAAATTAAAGCAAACCCTAGAAGAATTGTTGGTGAGAAAAAAGACACACAGACACTGAAGAAAAAATGACAGAACAGGATATTAAAATTGCACTCTTCTATCAGAAACAATTGGCATGCAATGGAAAAATACATCACCAATGTTGAGATGCTTCGTCTGCCCTGATGTCTTACCCTGCAGGAAACAACAGGATTTCAACAGTTAGGATTTTACAAGACGCTTTAGGCAAAATTAGTATTAGAAGTCATGACAATTGTGGTTGAATCCAATAGGTGGAAGCCACATGTTTTACTACCAGTAATGGATTTATTTTGGGCTTACTTTAAACAACTGGAACACCTGCTGCACATCTTCTTGTACTGCAAGGTCTTCTGCTGTCTCCTTATCCTGTAGGTTAACAACACATCCATGAAGTCATTAACAACGCTTAACATCATCATAACATATTCAATATGATGCTTTTATGCTTTAGTTGCACAAAAAGGAGTTTGTAATATTTATTAAGATATGATAGTCTATCTCTCTTGGTTTACCTCAGAATGATTGTAACAGTTACTATGTCAGCTAAGTCTAAAATACAACATAGATCTAACAACATCATTCAGCGTGAAATCAGTGAGTTAGATACACGATTATAGTGATGTCTCCTTTCTCAGCACCAACCATTGACATTTGACATGTGACAAAGTCCAAAAAGCATACTTACACTGTTCCTAATAACAGTGTTGGCTCCAGCCCTCAGCAGTACTCTGACACACTCGGGGTGTCCTCTCCTTGCTGCTGCATGAAGGGGAGTCTCATTCTGTAGTACAGCAAAGTGTGAGATGGTCAAATTTTAAAGTATCTACACACTGAACATAACAGTCTGGCCAAATGACTACACCAGCCCCTTTAGTCCCCCACACAAGTCCTGACATGGCTCAAATGTTTAACCCTAAAGTTCAAGTTGGGCCAACACAAGTAAGGCTCCAACCGATACAGACATGTTACATGTATCAAATTGAATGTAATTTTCAGCTGTAAGTGAAGTGGGTACGGTTCCCTTGACTGTAGTACAGTATCTGATAGTCAGGACACCAGAATGACAGGATAGTGCTGTTATCATTGTCTATGCCTTGTGGTTTCATTATACAAACTCAGGGCAGGCACAGTTAAACAGACTGATTCAGAAGTAAACAGTCAAGTTACCTCATTGTTTCGTGTATCGACTGTTGCTCCAGCTGTGAGTAAAGCCTGTACAGTTCCTGTGTGGCCGTGCTTGGATGCATGGTCGAGAGCAGTCCTTCTCTGTACAGAAACAAGAGTAGAGGGGCTCCAATGGCATGTAAGACTAGGTTTCAGACAATGTACAAACTGTGACCTTTGCAACCTTCCAGGAACTTCCCGTATAAGTGTTATCCTCAGGGTACCATGATCAAGATTTTGCTCCGCTATGCTAGAAAAAATCGCTAGCATAGCGGAGCAAAATTTGGATGGTACCCATGCTAGTATAGTGTATTAAGACCATGGATGACATGAAGAAGGATGTCAGATGTACTTAATTATAAATGTGTTAATATCACTAGCTTAAAGAGTTAATCTGGTGTAAAGTTCAAGGTCATCTTTAAATATCTGTATTTTAATGATGGAAAGAAAACTAAGTTTCATAAACCGACTTGTGCAACTTTTCCCTAGTTGAGAAGAACATTTACATTAACATAATTGTCTTCTAGAGGTGACCATGTGTTTGACAATCCTTCATATAATAATAATAATAATAAGGGTGGAGTGAGGAAAGTTGTGTAAAGTGCCTTTCCCAAGGGCACAACGTCGGGCGCATGTCCAGACATGTCCTGGGTACGACTCGGGATCGAACCCGGGTCTCCCCACTTCATAGTTGATTGCTCTAAACACTACACCACCCGACGCCACGGTATAAAGCCTGACACAGAACAAAGTAAAATAAAAACAAACAAACAAATGGTTCCATAATTAGTATAGCAAAGTACCTGGTTGGTCACAACATCAGTGGCTTTATTATTTACTATGCAGTGGTCGAAATACTTTTTTTCAGTGCTATGCAATATTGCAGAATAGTCAAAATTTTGTTCTGCAATTTGGAAATACTTTCTGCAAATACACAAGCCTCTATACTACATTTGTACAATCTTGCAGGTTTATAAGCATGAACTATTGATTGATATGCAAATTAGTGAAGACAAATTTTTGGAAGTCCAAAAGGAAACAAAAGATATACAAGTCAAGACAAAGTTGATGTAAATTAGTGAAGAAGCTCCTGTTGTTTCATATCTAGAACAGGAGCTTAAGTGTTGTCTGTCCTAATTGGGGGGCCAAGAGCGCCAAATCCCAAGTGCCAATTTTTCCTGCTGCAAAATTGCAGATTGTATAAATTTTTCTTCTGCAATCTTTGAAATCTATCTGCAGATTGCAGACTGCAGACAGGTATTTCGAACACTGCTATGATACAAACTCAGGACAGGCACAGTTAGACAGACTCTGATGTTAACAGCAAAGGTACCCCGCTGTCCGGTGCATCGACTGTCGCTCCAGCTGTGAGTAAAGCCTGTACAGTTCCTGTGTGGCCGTGCTCGGATGCAGAGTGGAGAGCAGTCCATTTCTGTACAGAGACAAAAGTAGGGAAGCTCCATGTAAGACATGTCTTGTACCAACCATGACTTCTGCAGAACTTCCAGTATAGTGTAAGTCAAGTTAGAACATGGATGACATGAAGAAGTTTAAAATGTTAAATATAAGTTTAAGGTGTTTTACATATTACTAGTAAAAGGAGGTGATCTGATGTAAAGACCAGGGTCATCTGTAAACATCTGTACTTTAATGATGAAAGGAAAACTTAGTTTCATAAAAATTAAGTCACTTGACAATGTGCAACTTCATAGCCATTAACATGTAATTACAGTAATAGGTGACTAAGTGTTTGACAATCGTTCATATAAAGCCCGTACAGTATACTATGAACAAAGTAAAATAAAAAGAAACAAACGGTTCCTATGAGTATAGCAAAGTACCAGTGAGTGACAGTCATGACATCAGTGGCTTTATTATTTACTAGTATCAATGATACAAACTCAGGACAGGCACAGTTACACATGTAGACAAACTCTCATGTAAACAGCAAAGGTACCCAAAGGGAGTTGCTTCGTGCATCGATTGCCGCTCCAGCTGTGAGTAAAGCCTGTACAGTTCCTGTGTGGCCGTTCTCGGATGCTTTGTGGAGAGCTGTCCATGCCTGTACAGAGACATGTAAGATTAGGGTTCAGACATGTACATGTACTTGTACCAACGGTGATCTTTACAGCCTTCCATGAACTTCCCGTATAGTGTAAGAACATGGATGAAGAAAATTGTTGAAGATGCACTTACTAATAGATATAAACAGTGGCTTATGAGCTTTATAGAAGGAAAGCTTGAAAGAATCAGTACGGTAGCACAAAGAGGTGTTGTGATGTAAAGATCAACTTCATCTGTTTAAACACTCCACAGTGTTTCAAAATCCTTTCATGAATTTGTTATATATAATGTAAATTGTTATATAATAACTTACGCCGTTGTTGGCAGCATTGACATTGACTCCCTCGGCCAGGAGCTGTTTAACTTTGTCCTCATCACCTCGCCTGGCGGCTTCTCTCAGCTCCTGAAGAACAGAAACATCCAGACATAAAACTACTTTTAAGATGCTGGACAGCTTTAATGGTTCAAGGTTTAAAACCCTTTTTACTCTATATGTTTATTCAACAATTCTCAATATCCAAAATGTCATTAACAACATACATGTAGTCGGAGCAAAGGTGATGGTGTACATGTAATACCTTTGAAAAAAATTTACCTTTTTTGTTAGTGGTGGAAAAAGTTGTTCTTGCCAACTGTGGACTTGAGAAGAAGAGTTTCACCAACCTGTTCTTTCTCCTCCATGAGTTTTTCTGCTGTAGTTCTGATGTTGTGAAACACACTGGTGTATCCTGGTGATGTCCTAAGTCTGCTGGGCCAGATTTACTAGTAGTCCATTCTGATGCAGATTTCCTGCATTCTCTACAAAAGACAAAGGTCAGACAAGCAGTTACGTAGTTACTGCTCCATCCGCCATTTTAGTTACAAGGTCAGAAGGTCACAGGTGCTTTTGTTGGGCACAGGTACCATAACATTAGACAAACAACAGTGTTGGCTCCTTTTATTCACTGTTCACAGCAAAATGAACAAAATAAAGACAATGTGGAAACGTGTCCCTAAGATAATCATTTCTGATATTTCTAAGTTGACTTAGCACCAGTGAGAGTCACTGGGGGCAACGCAACACAGCAGCGTCATGCACACAGCAGCAAACAATGCACACATATTCAGTTACAATAAGAGAGTCACACTGGTTCACGTTTAACGTTTAATGGTTGTACAAAAAAACACACTTGTGGTTAGTTCTGAAAGGTGGAATGGTGTGAAGTGCTTAATACAATAAAAAAGTCAATAAAAAAGCTTAGATAACCCCAAACCCGAGGATGATGAGTAATGTAAAATGGTGTAAAAATAAGGCTTATGCAAGTTGTTGACATTTCTGAGCAAGAATGATTAAATCTAAAAAAAGAATAGCCAAGATAGCTCTGTGCAGCCCAGCTCTCAATAACAACATCCATCCACTGTTGACACTGGGAAAAGGTTCAACTTGTCAATACCCTTTTCTCAATTTTACGGTATCTCACAGTAAGGCCACACCAATTTAATTTCTTGGTTAACGGATTTTTCTAGAAAAATAATGGAGCAAGCGGGCAAAAAATAAAAATAAAAACAGGCCTTAAGGCATGCTATTATGGCCCAAAATGGTACAATAGGAGCTATTAAGTCAACACACCAGACTCTGGTTCAAAATTTAAACAATTATGAATGCTCACCAGGTACACGCCCACACTTTCGTATTTCTTTCATCAAACTAAAGATTTCCTTCCTCAATACCCAAGACTAGAATGGACATCAAAGGTGGTACAACATTCTGAGTTTTTAGGTTCCAGAAGATTGAATTGAACTAAATTTGAAGCTCCTTGATTTCTGTCGCATTATAATAATTTATGAGGCCCGTTATGCTAAAGTTTAAGGTGTTTAAAAGTGCTCCGTAGTTTAAGAAGGAACCTTGCACAAGACCCTAGATCTATCTACATCCTCTCAAGAGTTTTCTGACTTACCTTAAAGTGTTCTAGGGAAGACTGTGAAGTTCCTTTGGTCTGTAGAAACCAACTCGAAGAAGTTCCTCTTTTCAAACCGCGGTTACTTCCGGGTTGGTCACGTGACGGCCACTCCCGCCAGGTTGAGCTGCAGTACCCAGATCGGCGCCAGGCGGCGCTTTTTGCGCACAAGGTTCACAACAATATTAAACTCAAGCACACAGAAATAAAGCTAGGATATCATGTGTATCATGTAGATTCTCAGCAAAGAAGTTGGCCAAGGACAGACCTAGATAGAAGGAGAAAGTCATGGCCTTATATCTCGCAAGGGATGGAGAGGAGAAGTATATAATCAATGTGGTGGCCTTACATGAATAAAACAGTGAATAAATGAAGCTTTGTCTGCTAGTAGGTGTCTGTGTTAATGCATGGAGGTAAAAAAGACCTCCTCCATGGTTAATGCAACCAGCCCCTATGGGCTTATAAGACACATTAAACCATCATCTAATAATACAGAATAATACAATAAGAGAACAGTGAGGTAGAAATGGACAAAACCCCAACCAATACTCAACTTCACGATTATAATTACGTGGGAACTGGAAACGTGTGTGAAATACATCCCTGAAAGAAGAACTAATTAATATGTCAGCTGAGTTAAGGTTTTGTCATCCAACCATTTGGAAGTGTTACAAAGTGTCCTCCATAGCACTTCTCTAGTTTACAACATAGTAATTAGAAAAGGTAGCAAATACCAATAATAATACTGGCAAAGATATTGTGTTATACAAGTGAGTACACCGTGCCATACAGAAATAAACAATAAGTCAGACAAGGTGGTGCATAGAAGGAATATATTCACCTCCGATTCTGGAACAAAATGCACTGTAAATTTACAACTCTTCAATGGAATTACAAGCAATGCTAAACTGGAAGAGGAACATCAAAACAACTCCATGTAGTCTGAGACTCATTTAGTTTTCCTTCCAGGCTTCTTTCCAAATTTTCACTAGAAATAACAGAAAACTGAGGAAATGGTGTTTTAACACAAGGACAAACTCTTTGGCTACATTTAGTGAGATAACTTCACACCAGACCCAAAATTGGACAAAATAACATAAAAATTGTTTCATTTCACTTAAATTACATGAAACAATCAGAAAGTAATATTTCATGATACTTGCTGCCCAATCAAAAAGCAATATTTCATGATTGACACATACTTGCTAGCCAATCAGAAATTTGATGATCATATAACATTACATGATTGTACAGTAACTATATTTATCATATATTTACCATATTTTCCACTAAAGTGATATAGTTAATAAAATAGATTATCATAAAAATTACTTTTTGCTGTATTTTTAAAAATCTGTATAATATTGTCTGGCATCTAAAGATTAAGATACTCCTTGATCCTAAATTCCTCTGTTTATTTACAACATATATTTACACCAGATGCATGTACATTTGGACATTACAGAATTTGCCTAAGCAAGGCTCTTAGGTAAAGCACCGTTCTGGATAAAACATCTCTGTCAACAATTCAAACGCAGTATTGAAATAATCGATGTTCCATATTATATAACTAGAAAGGCCAATATTTGCTTTGGAGCAAATACAGCGATGGGTTCACCACATTTTACCACATGGCAGGGAAAGAATGAGAAACACAAGGGAAAACAATGATTTACATTGATATAACTATAATATGAAGTAACATACAACTAAAACAACAGTTGGATAGCTATTCCCTACTTTATTGGTTAGGATTTTTAATTGCATAATGCAAACTGTTGATTTTCAAAATAAAAAAAAACGTTCATGCCCCGCATTCCAATGCTGGAGCAGAAAAGCTTGAAATACCTACCAAAACACTTGAATAAAGACATACTGTCAGTATGGAAATACTCTGCAGGTGTTAATCAAGTTAAATCCCAACAGCCAATCAGCAAGAAATGCTCTGTGCAGGTGGAAATGCTCAGTGTGCAGGTGTTAATCAAGTTAAATTCCAACAGCCAATCAGCAAGAAGTATAGAGGAAAGCTGCATGCCTATTGGTTGATGCCCTGCATTCCATTGTGATGACTCATGCCCAGACGTGGTAAACATGGCACACTAACACAGTAATACATTAGCTATAATACAGCCAAAAAACTCAAATAAAACCATTCTAAAAGCCTGTATCACAAACATTTAAAAAACGCCTAGGGGTATTTGCCCACTGTACCTCCATACCAAATTTCAGGACCTTAGGCCCTAAAATGAAGAAGCTGAATCCATTTAAAAAATGGCAGGAGGAGGAGGAGGAGAAGGAGGAGGAGAAGAAACATCAGAAAAAGCAATATGGTTTCACCACACCACTTCGTGGTGTGGTGAACCCATAATTACAGCGTTGTGCTGCCGTGAAAAATGCTTTAAAGTGGATACCAGCAGTCTAGCCTCAAATGGTCTGAAGATCACAGGATGTATCTTGACTATTACAAACTGCAACCTTGCTTGCCATATTAATCACTTATGCATCAGCACAGAGTCTATGATGCTGTTGTATATTATACTATTGTGCATTACAGGGGTATACCTGGCCTGGCACTAAAGGTTAAACTTTGTTTGATTCATGTCACCCTGAGCTTGTGTCTTGTTATTACAAAAGATGTATATGAGCTGTTCCATCAGTAAACAGTAGGGGAAGGTAAAAAGGACAGAAGTAAATATATGAAAAAAATTTCTAGGTCTAACACATATCTGTATCTGTATAGCCTGTATAACCGCTTTTCGGCGTAACACACCAGCTTCGCAGGCACACGGCATGATGGCAGAGATCTATTGAATGTTGAATCAGTCTGTTATTTTTTAATTCCATGATTATCATTTCTTGACAAGCTTATAGACTGCCCGACTACATGTCCCGGTATGAATTATCTCCATTCTGATAAAAATGGACAGTGGTGAGTTGTGTACTTTAGTTCAGAAACACTCCCTTTCCAGAGAAGCATTATATCATTATATTGGGACAGATACAGTTGTAGGTTAGAGTCATCAATCATCATGTTTGCATATTGGGCTGCTTACCAGAACTAATTATAATGTTTGTATTGGGTTTAAGAATGTATCAGGCTGAATGCTACATACTACAGTTGTTCCTGTCATCTAACCAGTCTTAACTAACATTTGTCTTAGACCTTCTGTGTCTGGATGTTGTCTTCATTTGCGAGTTGGGGCAAAGAAGTGGCCTCAGCACTATGGTCACAGTAACCTCCCTCTCTAGTGCAGCACATTACTGAAAAGAATTTAGCATTGTTTGGAGTCAGTGTACATGTACATGTGTAGTTCAGCCTTTTTGCTGCATTTTTTAAGAGATAGAGAATGTTATGTCAGAAATGAAGTCTATCTCTCACTTTCAAATACACTGAAAATTCCAATACTTTTCACAGTGACCTCTCCTCTCCAAATTCATGACAATGCAAATATTATCAAGAGTTTCCAATGTATTACTACAGTTAATATCACTTGTATTTGGAACCTCTAACTGTATCATATTCAACAAAATTTAAGTTCTATATCATTGTCTTCAACATGTTGCCATTGCTATAACCTCACAAATACAGTTATCCTACCTCAGCTGAGGACATGTACAGAACCATGTTGGAAACTCATATGTTGTGCAGCACCAGGCAGCTGGCTGTGGTGTCCGCTCCCTCAGGAACTAGACGCCTAGAGAAGCTGTTGGTGGAAAATAAAAAAAGAGAGAGAATGCTTTTAAAAATGTTACATCAAATCACATCATATTGTACTAGTAACAGAATGTGGGAGATTCATAAACAAGAGATTCATAAACCATTTGGTGCCATGTAGGTTAATGCACACTTGAGTTTAAAAAATTTGTACATACTTTATTGAAGTATGTGTACCAGAACAGGTGTTTGTCTGTTAAATAGATAATTTTATTAAATTTGTGAAGATAGTGCAGTCTTGAATGTATAGCAAAAATCAATTTACACGTTACTGGAATTCAATCAAATACTACGGGACGTAAATTTAAGATACAAAGAGCACTTTCTTCAGACACCCTGGAGTACAGCATGCCCATGGGAACCAATATAACTCACTCTAGCCCATTCAATGTTGGGTGTTCCTCAGCAGCCTGCACCACAGCCTGGAACCCTGCAGGCTCCATGGAGATGTGCCACAATTGCAGCTGCTCCAGGGCAGGGAGTCTGGGTAGAGCCTCGGCCAGATCCATGGCAGCGGTGTCAGACAGGTGTGTGTCATTACCAGACATGTCCAGCCAGGTCAGTGCCGGCAGTGTGCTGATGACCTGTGCGACCCTCCGCAGTCCGGCTCCTGTTACTCGCTTATTACTCCCGATGAACAGCTCCTGTAGTGTGGCATTATAGTGAGGGGCTGTGGTCAGACTCTTGTTACCAGGTGGGTTTTGTTCCATGTCCAAATTGCTGGGCTGGCAGAGTGTTTGCACCAGTGAGACAATCCCTGAGTCTCCTATGTTATTCCAGCTCACATCCAACACCTGTAAGTGCACCAGGTGAGGCAGAGCTTTGATCAGGGATGATATTCCCCTGTCACTGATACAAGTCCCACTGAGAACCAACACCTTCATGGCTGTGAGGTGGTGGAGGATAGCAGCCAGCAGATATTCCAACCCAAGGTCTCCTATTTCATTTTCACTAACGTCCAGTTTGATCAGTCTAGTTAACTTACGCAGTGCAGGGACCAGTGTGCGCATGCCTGTTGGGCTGATACCGGTCTTCTCCAGGCCCAACACCTGCATGGCAGTGAAGGTGTGGAGGATGATGGTGAGAGATTCCAGCCCAGTGTCACCAATCTTATTACCACTTATATCCAGTTCTCTCAATCCCACTAGGTGGCGCATGTAGGGAGCCAGGTATGACATGCCCACAGATGTCATGCCAACTCCAAATACTATCCCTCCAAGACGGAGTACAGCCAGGTGTGGAACACTGGACAGCCCAACCTGTAGGACTTCCATCCCAGTATCACCAAGGTCAGGGTTCTCAGACAGATCCAGCTCCTCTAACAGAGACATGTGTCTGAACCCCTGCACAAGTGGCTGGAGTGATGATGGTGTTAGTTTTGTGAGTGACAGACCCAGGGCCCTCAGACAGGGAACATTCTCAAGAACTGAAACCAGCTTGGCTGTCAGATCAGGTGAGTTAAACCAAGTGGAACGTCCTTGGTTATACTGTCCTGATAGCTTCAAGTCCACTTTAAGTCCAGGGAGTGAAGTTGTAAAACACTGCTGTAGGTACTGAACTGTGTCTCTGCTGTCAGTGCCTTCACGGATCTTAAGTATGAGCCTGTCTGGCATGTTTTCTGAATGAAGATTTTGTATGAAATACTTAAGAGCTGTAGCTTCTCTGCTGTTAATGGAGCTGTCCAGCGTGACAATTGGCAGGGCTTGACTGATACCCTGAACAACTTCTGGTTCTTGCCTCTCACTAAGGATGTTCAGGCACAAGTGTGCAAACCTTCTACAGGTTTGGCAGGATTTTCGCACGTCTTGATCCATTGGCACAGTTGATATTGTAAGCTGTTCTGGTAGCAAGTGTGTGAACTCTCTGCTGCTGAGCTTGCTTAGTTCCTCCATCATAGCTTGTGCTGCCTGTGAGTCACAGCCACATGTGAACTGAAGCAGGTTACTGAGATCAAATGCCTTGCTTATGGAGGTGAGCTGCAGCAGCTCAACAATGTCTTGGTTCACTTGAGCATGAGCTACATATCGTCCGGCCAGGAACTCTTGCATGGTCTTGTGTGAAAAGTTCAGCTGTTTCCTAGGGTGCAATTTTGAGGAAGAAACCTCCAAGGAGACCACACCCAGCTTTAACAGTAACTCCCAATTAACCTTTTCTCTCTTTACTTCTGTAAGGTCAAGCAGGGTCTCATTCCTCAGCAGTGCCTCTAGTGCAAGCTTGCCGAGCTGCAGTAATGACTCAGCAATCTCTGTAGGCAGCCCTTCTGTTGGCATGTCCATTCCTTCCCGCTCACAGCACTTTCTGACCAGACATGTCAGCAGGTTGTTGTACAGCCCCATCATTGTTCCAGTAGACACCATGTCTTGGTCCTCCTCCCACAGCAGACACACAAACATCAGGAACATTGGGGTTTGGATGAGGTTATTTATGATTTTGTCATCTTTCAGCACTACAACAGTTGTTGTGTTCTCCTCCTCCCCATGACTGCCAGTAGATAAATCATTGCTTTGTGTATCACTGTTATCATCATCATCAATGTCTTCATCTTCATTGTTATCAATGACAGGCTTGACAGTGAAATGTTGCTTGATGAAATCTTTTGCCAACTCAGGACTTCCTGTGATGGAGAAATATTTCTTCACGTGCTTTGCAGCATGTTTAGGTGAGAAGCCCATGATGTGTACGTGACAGTCTGGCTGGGTGTACTGCTGCACTCCTGCTGAGGGTCGGGAAGTGATCACAATCATGCTGTTGGGGTACATCTTGCCAGACAGCAGTTTGGGAATGGCCTGCCCGGCTGCCCTGGCCTCAGGCCGCAGCTCATCATACCCATCTAGGAGGAAGAGCACACGGGACGTGTTCCTCTGTAGGATTGTTCTAATGGACTGTACATCAATACCTTCAGTTGTTTGAGAAACGCACTGGTCCCACACCATCTCCTCTATGGTCTCCCCCTCTCTCACCTCCCGGAGTCGGATCAACAGGACGATGTCGTGCCGTCTTCCCAGCTCTGTTTTCTGTGAGACGGCATCTAGGGCTTCTTTGGACAGAAACGTTGTCTTCCCCCCTCCAGCTTCACCCTCAATCAGAATGCACCTTGGTGCTGTGGACAGTCCTGTGACATCTGGCTTGAACAAGTCGTCTAATGACTTAAGCTCTTTCCTCTCTTCTCCCCTCATTGATTCTGAACTTTTATGTTTTGATTTTTGTATCAACTCTAACTGGGTGAAGATGTCACTGAGGCTAAGTGTGAAATCATTATTCCAGATCACAGGCTTGAGTTCAGTCAGTTTCACCTCATAGTACTTCTTAACAGACTCCTGGAACAAATCTGGAATACAGAGAACACTGTTGTAAGATTTCAAAATCAATATTAGTGAAAATGTAACTTATGCAAGACGGCAATTCATATTTATATCTTATATAAGGGAAAAACCTTGTCAGCCTTAATCATCATCATCATGCCTCCGGATTAATTATCCGGTAACGTAAACTTGATAAAGTTACTGCAATACACCCAGTCCCTTTTCAGCTTTCAACTCATAGTACTCCAAGCCCACCGGCACGTCTTATACATATAGCAAAAAATTTATTCTGGCTGACAGTTTGCACATTTTGTGCATAGGCTTAACCAGCGTACGAAATACTTTTCTAAGGCAGGTTGCCCAGTGTGCAACCTGGGTCAAAAAATAGGTTGCAATGAAGAATTTCAAGTTGCACCACCTTTAATTTGCCGATTTCCTCTGTTGCGTAAATACATGTACATACAATGCAATGCAATACACCACAATATCAACATGAACATAATTGTACCACTCTATAAGCTCTCACCTTCCTCTATACAAGTAGCTGGTTTCTTCTTCCCTGGAAACTCTTCTCCATCCTCCCCCTTCCTCTTCAGCTGGCTGCTAGAGGCTCGGGGTGAACCTGTCTCAGAGAGGTGGATTCAGAATTTGTAAGATTTCCAAACCCTATTCCCACATTATAAATGAGTCAAATACTATTATTGAAAACCTGTCTGGATCAGATTCCAGCTTGAAAATAGGCACATGTCAACATTTCAAGATTTCTAGTAGTAGTATAAATTAATGGCAGTTTTTGGTATAATATACATGTAAGTTATTAATGTTATAAATTATAAATTGATGACAAAATATGTGTGATTGTGGAAACTTGTGGTTTTCTCTGACTGGTAGAAATGACAACAATGTGCAATGACAAACCTTTAGTGTCATTAGTAACATAGTTTTTGTATGTTGATAGAAAATGGAAGTTTTTTAAAGTTACATGTACAATGTACCAGGTTTCGAGTGAATCCTTGATCCTTCAGAGGCCGTCTCCCCGGTAAGAGCTGCACCGCTCTTTCCCTTCTTGACTTCAGCAACGTGACCTACACACAGTTCAGTTGGACTTTAGACATGATTCTGTATTTGTACAAAATCTTGTAATAATTTTGTATGGAGGTCTAATCTTAACAAAGATGTCTACTGTAGCATTTTTACACAAACTATATTAGGGCATATGGTCCCTAATCTAGTTAGTATAAAAATAACAGTAGACATCTTTGTTATATTAGACTTTCATACTTTCATACAGACTATCATACAAGTTGTATTAGTTGGGTAGAAAAAAGTTATTATAAACCGATGAATTTTTGCCAATTAGGATCTTGATTAATTCCATTACACATCAAAACAGAGGTCAGCTTCCAGGGACACATGCCTTTTCTGTGGTCTCAGTGCGTGGCAACCAGTATTTTCGACTCACCAAACTCTTTTTTTTTTTGCCATCTTTACATCTGCAACGTCTGCCAGACTGAGACTTTCATAAAGTTAACAACCACCTTTGTGATTTGTTCTGTAATTTTGCCCTTTACTGGTTGCTGGGAGAAGCCAGATTGGGAGGGTGCCCCGCCACAACGCAGTGAGTAAGGTTTACGATGCCTAAATCAGCTAGCCGATGAGATATTGTAGTTTAGCTTAGGTTTTTATTAGGTGTATTGAATATTTGTACTTGTTTAATGTTCCTGTGTTATTTTACTTGTGAATTTAGTTGAAAATGTTAAAAAATTTTGTTGTACTTGTGATTATAAGTAACTTTATCAGCGCTATATTCCTGGTTAACTTTGGCGCCTTTTTAGACAAACCAAATTGTGATGTAAATTAGCTGACAGCTAGCTGAGCCGCATCCTGTTGATGCTCATGAATAATTGCTCATGAATTCCTGTCATTGTTAGATTCAGCAATATTCAGACTAGTCGGTTTAGGGATAATCAGTTAAGAGTTTGATCTACACAAATAAGCTCTGTGGCAGGTTACGCAGGTACTTGTTTGGACAGAAATAAATAAATAGACACTGATTTAACTTATCAGTTGAGACAAGACCTTTTATTCAACAATTTCCTTACCTGCTTGTCCAAATGCCTGAAGGAATTGCTGATGAGACTCCTCCCAGTATTTGGACTCCAGGAGTTCCTGCTTGAGTTCTGCAGCCCGACGGAACGCGGCTTCTGACATCCGCAGAACATCCGCAATCTGATCTGCCCAATGTCCGACATCTACAGAATCGTCACCCGTGATTTTAAGAACAGAGTGGTGGAATTCTGGTACGACCTTATGGACCAAGTCCGCCAGTCCTGATTGGTCAGATATGAGAACTGGCACGCCGGCTGCCATGGCCTCCAGACCGACCAGTCCGAAGGGTTCTGCACGGGAGGGCATGAGAACCAGGTGGGCCTGCTGCATGTCTCGGCAGACGTTTTCCTGGGTGCCGGGTGGGAGAAGTGTGGGGATCAGTTTTCCTGAGTTGATGCTGGTTTGGAGAATGGACATACTGGCCTGATACTCCTCTTTACTGACACCACGAATCCGCAACTTGATTCTGTCCTGACTCCTTTCTAAGGCTTCTGACAAGGCCTTGACTGCCAAGTCAAAACCTTTCACCTTCTCAACTGTTGTCACCCTACCAATTAAAAGAATAACTTTCTCACTTGTTTCAAAGTACTCAACTGTAGTGTTCAGGAACAAGTCTGATGGTTTGGGCAGGAAGAGGTAGTGAGTTGGCCTCTTGTCTTTAGGAATTGCACGAAATGAGTTTATAAAGTGGTCTTGTGTTCTGTGTCCCACAGAGAACACAGTATCTGCCTTCCCTGCATCTTGTCTGATAGAGTCTTCCTTCTCACCAATGCCCATGGCCTTCTCATCTTCCTTGTACTTCTCTGTGTCTTCAGGTATAGTCTGGGTGACAAGACTGAGGCTTGCTTGGGGGAAACGCTGTTCCTTGATAGTTGCTGCTGCTCTGCTGGTGACCCCACTATGACCCACAATCCACCCTGCATCCTGTGGGAGACTGGGATAGCGGACAGGGTGGTCAAAGGTCAGCCAATCCAGACAGGGTTCCCTTGTGTCTCCCTGACTGCGGGTTGGGAGGATGAGCTCCACTCCATCAGCCTCAGCACACTTTCTGTCCTCCTCTGTATCTTCCAAAACAGTACTGTAAACTTTCCACCCTGCTCCTGTTAGGGTCTGGGCCACCTGTCGGCTGACAGGGGAACTGCAGTCCTCAGAGGTGGCATACTGGTCACTCACCAGGAGAACTGAGCTGGACTCGGCAGTTTCACCTGAGCACCCAGCTGCCCCCTGGCCCTCAGCCATGACTCACATGGGTGTCAGCTACATGTACATCATTATAGGAACACCTGGAACAGACAGGTGTGTGTCAGGTATGTGGTAGCAACACCTGGGACAGGTGTGTGTCAGGTATGTGGTATCACCTGGAACAGACAGGCGTGTGTCAGGTATGTGGTCACAACACCTGGAATAGACAGGCGTGTGTCAGGTATGTGGTAACAACACCTGGAACAGGCAGATGTGTGTCAGGTATGTGGTAGCAATAACACCTGCATGGGACAGCCTGACAAGTGTGTGAAACAATATCTTGTAGCTTAAGTATCGATTGGTATACTAGTATTCACAAGATATGCAAATTAGGATATGGCCATATTAGCCGTGGACGACTCTGGTACACCTTTTTGCATGATAATGCCGGTGACAGAGTCGTGGAAAGCACCATAGGCCAAAACGAACCTTTGCCGTGCCGGGCCTCATGCAACGGGCCGGCCCCGGTTTTTTGGTGTCCCTGGCTTCCCGACGCACTCACCTGCCGGGCCGGGGGGATAAGACAAACACAGCATTTAACCACAACACGGCCTCGGAGCACGTAACTCCATACAAATCATCGGCGATCGGCGCCATTTTGAATTCAGGAATCGGCCCGCAAAACAGGCCGGACCCTGAGTTTACGACAGATTACGTCGTTATTTTCAACTCTCCAACATTCAAGCTGCGGGTATCATGACGTAATCTGTCGTAAACTCAGCGACTCACCGGCATTATCATGCAAAAAGGTGTACCAGAGTCGTCCACGGCTATGGCCATTATAGTTTTCGTATAGCGATGGGGGTAAATTACTTGATTTTTTAGCAATTATCATTTACAGTTCAGGTGGGGATGATTTTCAGTTTCAGTACCTTTTTTTTAAACAAAAATAACGTTACCCGAGTGGGTAAGGCGGTTTCACCATAGTTAGTGAGCGTTTTTTAGGGGGGGGAGGGGGGCCAGGGGTATTCGAACATTGTACTTCTTTTCAATCTTTTGGTTTCCCACAGTGCGCGGGCAGGTGGGAATACGGCCAGACTTGGGGTGTAATTCAGGCAGCCTTGGGTGGGAAATAGCGGACTACTGATTTACCACTTTTAGGACCACCGAAAAACCACTATGAGGTCAGCTGACCTAATTTGCGTTCAGCTCTTTCACACCGATTACTGCCCAAAGGCTGCCGCAATGCTGCCCGGTGGGAATCTGGTGGTGTTATGGTGGTGTTTTACGTCAGGTCACTAGGGGTCATCACCGCTACTTAATCCTGCTTACCCACATAATGTACGTTATGTAGTCATGTCGCTTGAGAACTTCCTGGTTCTGTTGTTTATACCGGACTTTGCAGTTTCTATACATACCGTTACAGGTCACCTATCCACAGTAAACAAAAGTTATTTATTAAGGGATTATTTCTTAGAGTTGTATTTCCGGTACTTACATGCATGCAGGATCGGCACTGGAAATGTCGTCAGTCGGCCGCTTCATCTTTTGACTAATTATTACTCCGTGAAGGAGGTCAGGACCTCCGGACGGAGTGTTGTGATCGGCTGATTTTTCATGTTCGCAGTCAAAACACTGGGTTCTCTTTGTGTAATCGGCACGCAATTTTATACGCCGTCTGCGGGCATGCCCGTGTTGATGCACATTCGTGTATTTTTGCCGTTGCTGCTTTCGCGGTCAATGTAATATTGCAGGCGCACCCCTACAATTACGAGGCGAATTGGAATGGTCCAGAAAAACGCGTTGTTTGGAATAGCAGTGGGGGGGTGGAACTTCATGCAGATACGGGGTGGTTTTGATAAGTGGTTCCAGATGTTTTTGCCCATGCTTAAGAGATGCCAAGTTTTTCGGAAGATGTTCGCAGCCAAAACGCATTCTTCCGTACGTCGCATTTCTGTGAAATTTCGCATGTGGTGTGGCATTATGTCCGGGATGATGCATGTCTTTTTATTTTTACCGTAGCTGTTTTGATATTGAAGTAAATGCATATTTTAGAAACATCCCTACTTTTACAATCCTGTGGAATAGGCCGTAGGTTTAGGCAGTTGTCTGGTAGCAGAGGTACTGTAAGCAGATATCCTGGTTATCTGGCCGGCGGTAGTAACACTCGCGGTGCTTACCGCAACTGTTGCTGGAATTTGGCCTGTTCCAGGCGCGCTTAATTAGGTACAGGCACGTTAAGACGGTGGGGCTGTCTTCTAGACACGACCATGATAGTCCGATCTTTATGTGAATGCAATGATTGTGTGTGTGTGTAATTAGAATGAACTTCGAACTTGTAGCACAGTATCTTTACATGCCCTGGGAGCAGTAATGGATTTAGCTTTTTGTATGTTTTATGCTTGTGACGCGCCCTCATTGTATTAACCGTTGCCTAATTATAATGTCTGCACAGTAGGTCTAGCCTGGTATCCAGTCTGATCGTGATTGGGGGTATTGGGGTGTTCAGGCAGGTTGTGTCGTCGGGGGCTCTAAGAGCTTCCCCCGCCCAGTGCAACAGACCGTCCCGGTAGGAGTGTTACGCTAATCAGAGACAGTATGCTTGGGGATTTGGTTTCCCCCAACACGATAGGAGGGCTAATTAATCTCTCGTGAAATACACACCGGGAAACCTATGTGAGGCGGGCGGGCCAGAGCTCTTACGGCCCCGAGCTCTTACGGCCCCGACCACGATCAGACTGGATACCAGGTTACAGTAGGTCTGGCATTGACGCTTGTTTTTGTTGAAATGTATAAAACTTCACGGAGGATTGTCACCTATGGCTTCTTGTTATTACTTATATCTATTGTCTTTATTCCTACTTTCCTTTCAGAATTATTGTTTGGAAAATGCAACAACAGAATGAAGAGAAGTATGGTTGTGCAATAAAATCTGTGATGTTACTTAGCGTGCATTCTGCTAGTAGGTTTCATTGACAAATAACATAACATTTCGTCGTGTCAATATGTTCCTTTATATTTAGCTGGAAAATACCGGTAAATGGTTCGCTACCTTTATCTGCTGAAAATAAATGGTTTGCTACAGTTGTACAAATAGTATATACTTGGGAGATAAGAGCATCGTCGAGGCTAGGACTACCAACCACCACAGCGTACTGCACACGATCTGGGAGACTAGACTGTTCCTTCGTCATCGACTCCTCCGCACCATCCAGCGACCAACTGGCATGGCGGCAGAGGCGCTCCGATCCCCGGCTGAAGCTGTCTCCAGGCACCACCGGCCCTTCTCAGGGCCACCAACATGATGAAAGGACTACAGTAGTATCACAATAAAGTTAGAAATCTTCGACTTTCTTGCTTTAATAAAAGTGGTCATAGGTTTTGTAACTGATCATTAAAATAATTCAGGTTCAAAACAATGAGCCGTTCCAGCGCAAACCGCTTTCTTGTCGGCGGCGGCTCTGAAGGAGATCAAGTTACCGTCCGGCAGGAGGGGCGGTGATGCAGTGGCGCCGACGCAGTGGCGCCTTGACTTGACGTCGGCGTGGGAAATCTAGTTGATCATCATAGCTTGTCTCCAATCCACTCCAGCCAGTTCCGCGCTGCTTCATTGGCCTCCTAGCTAGGCTGATGAAAGCACCGGACACAAGTACTTGCGGCTTCCTCGATCGTTTCGGTGTAATTGTACAAATTTAGGTGGCTGTATAATTAGTTCGAGTTGGTTTATCGAAGGCTGCAAAGAATACTCGATAGACAAATGATATTGTTACGTTTCCTTTTCAGATTACTGGGCAAGGCGAATCTTGGGATAAACTACATGCTGTATCGGCAACCGACAGAAGTAAATATATATACGCCTAGAGCTCGACAAGAACTCGAGGAAGACGGGACCTACCAGTCTCATCTGTTCTTAGATTAAGATAATGGCATAAGTATGGGTGTGCTCTCCGACCTACCGGACCTGTGCACGTGGACGCACCGCCATTTCCTGGCATGTTGTTGCGATGGGACCGCTGCGATGTACCTACTTACCTGCTCCAAAATGTATATTTTTGCCCTTGGCAGAATGTCTTAATACCTGATTTAAACACTTACTTGTACGCTTTCATGCTTCGTAATTATTGGCTACTACTACTAGTACGAGTATTTACTTAGTAACCGGCTATGCAACATCGTTAAAGATATAAACAGTTACATAACGTTATGTTTGTAAATTCAACCAAAAAAGTATCATCACTTGTTTATTATGTAGTCAGATGTTAGGAACATTGAACAGGAACATGTTAGTAGAAATTGGATAAAGAACAAAAGGTCAAGAACCGAACTGGAAGGTGAAAACCACAAATAAAAGAAATGCACAAATTATTGTGTCCATTGAACTGTTCATGTAGCCCGCACCATGGTTTTACAAGGCCATCCTGAAAAAGAGAAGAAGAAAATTGTTAAAACATTTGATTAGTGAACAAAAGCGTTGAATGCAGGACATCATTTACAATAAATTCAGTATGACCAAAAAAAAAAAAATTTATAACCCCCAGCGGGATTCGAACTTTCCAAGTCTCAACTCCTTAACCAGACCAACCCATGTATTCTGTGTGTTATGCCGCTACGCCACGGGGCATCTCTGACGACACGCCACAAAAAATAGAGCTTTTACACTGCGCATTTACATACAAAACAGACTAGTGTGTAAAACCAGGTTAAAAAATAATCTTTTTTTTTAACCTCCTTGGTAAAACTAAAACCCTTGGTAAAACCTCCAACTGCATATTATCATGTCACAAGATGCTACCTTTATTGAACATAGCTTCACTGTTATTTTCACTACGTTCTTTAGTAGGTAAAAAAAAGGGTCATTTCCTGCCGCGATATCGTTTAGCGCGTTCGGTAGTGCTCTTGCTTTGCGACACATGGCAGCCTATCGGCGCCGGATCGAACCCCGCGATGTCATGTTATGATTATAACATTTGATTATTTCAGAATGACATTTATTGTATGACTTTGTCTTACCATGTACTATACATGTTTCAATTAATCCATGAATTTAATGTACATGT